AGGTATGTTTTTCATGCTAATAAACATATTTATGCCTTTAATTATAAGGCCCTTTTTATCCCCATGGTATTGAGTACTGAATATTTTCCTGGGTATTTATTGTGACAATAGTGACCACAGAAACTGTTTGACATCACAAGAAAATGAAGGATATTAACAGGTGCATTTAATGACATTTCCACTCAATTTCCTCTACACCTGAAACCGACGAAAGACGTATGCGGTCGAGTCCCAGACCGAGACCTTGGAAAAGTCCAGACCGGTCTTAAGTACCACAGAACTGGTTTTTATGCTCTCTAAAATTCTCTGTGTTTCATTTAATGTCTTAAAATGTGGCTTTAGAGGAGTTCTGAGAGTAAATTATACATTTCTTCCTGTTATTCTTTTTGATTAAACTCAGGATTTCTTCACCTCAAAGGGCTGAAAAAAAAAACCTCACTACTGTAATGAATGAGGCAGAGATTCACATCCGTCTGCAGTTAATAATCTGATTCAGGAGAGCTCAGCTCGCTCACAGAATGAACTCATCAATACTTTATCAGCTGAATATTCATCTTTTTGGTATTTTTGTCTTCAAATCTAATAATAAAGACCTTTTTTGGTAGTGAGTAAAAACGGTGGAAACCAGAGCTGGTCTTGGTTTTGGACACAGGTGGTTGCCTTGAGGGGTGCTACTATAACAGGACACTGCTGCAGCTAAAGCCAACTTAGAAATAAAAAGCTAACAACATGTTCTTCCCTAAATGGATTGGTGCATACTGAAAACTACTCACTTCAATGCAAGCGTGCAACAGCCCTGCATGGAGGAGGTGCTTACTGCCGAGCTCTGAATGCAATGAGATTCATTTCATAAAATAAAACGCATGGATTTAATTTATTAATTTCACTCTTATGTTTATGTGATTAAAAATGATGGCCTTATTTTATATCAGAGCTCATCCAACGATCTAATAATGGAGTCATTTTAATTAAAGCTGAAATCTAAGAGGATGAATTATTCCTAGGGTTTCACCTCCCCTGCTGGTAAGTTGATCATTCCAGAAATTGTGTTTTTATACCAAATGAGTTAACAGAAGGGGATTTAGTAACTGCTTTTTCCCATTAAAACACCAGATTTGGAGAACATTGTCTAACCGACTGCTGCCTGTTTGTTCAGTACAAGAGTAAAATCAGCGATGAGATGGACCTGAAGAAGAGGATCCAGTCTCTGGAGGAGTCCATGGAGCTCCATGAGAGGATGAAGAGGCAGGCGCTGGCTGAGTTTGAGAACTACCGTCAAAGGGTGGAGGACATGCAGCTCTGCACCGAGGCCCAGGTACACGAGGGGTCTGTGTGTGTGTGTGTGTGTGTGGGGTGAGTAAGCAGCTGGGTCCTGTGGGCACAGCTGCAGGTAATCAGTATTATGTCTGGCTCTCAGTCAAGCTGTGAGGCTGCAGAGCCTCTGTTTGTCAACAATGATTTGTGGTGTGGCCGTCCAGAGCAGGGATCCATGCAGCCCTGCTTCTACTTGCTGCTTCAAGTGAAAATGTCTTTCGACTCAGGTTTGTTTACACTTTAAAGGCCTCTGAAATCTTTCCTGGCCTCATTATAAGTTTTATAGGATGGACAAACACAGAGGGGTCTGTTATTATGAAGCAGGACAAACGTTAAACAAGGGTTCCAGTTCGCTGGTGAAGATTCTCAGTCATCCAGGGAATAGTCATTCCAAAAATAGAAAATTAAAAACAATCCACTGGACTTTTTTTCCCTGCCAAGTTTAAAGACGTTTCACTTCCCATCCAGGAAGCTTTTTCAATTCAAAATGTCAGGAAAAAGCATTGAGTTCGAGGTTTTATACAGTAGCCCATTAAAACATTTTTTTGTTTTGAAAACAACATGCAAATTGAATAAGCTCCTAGATTGGAAGCGAAAGTGCATTGTTTTTAATTTTCATATTTTGGAAGGGTTTCAGTTTTTTGGGACCCAAAAATCTGAAGAAAGCGGCATGCATTCAAGCTCCTTTTAGAAGTATTTTTAATAACAAATAGTAGTTCCAGCTGTATGTAGTTTCTCCTCCTAATAAATGCAGCTGTTCTGTGGAGGCCTCAGAGGTTATTTAAAGAGCATTAGTGAACAAACAGCATCATGCACACCCTTGAACACAGCAGAACGGTCATGGAGGAAGGTTAAAAACAATATATCAATCCCTCTCAGAGCTCTTTTCAATTCATCATCTAATAAACTAAAACCCTGTGTGAAGAATGCAGACCTACTACCGTATTTTCACGACTATAAGGCGCATATAAACGTCTTTTTTATCCTCAAAATGTGCGGCGCGCCCTATAGTGCGGTGCGCCCTATGTGTGTTGTTACTGCGGACGTTGTTGAGACCGCCATGAGAACGTTAAAGGGGGAAGTGTGGGCGTGGATTTTGCATAAAAGAACAGGTATGTGCTTTATGCAGAACATTGTTGTCATAACAACCCTGAAAATGGCAAAGAGAAACACCAAATTTTTCCATCCGGACCAGGACTACAGTAGCTCAGCAACGTCCGGCAGATTATAATGAAAAGCTGGCGAGCTTCCATTCCTGCTGCATCAAAGACATTGCGACAAACGCATCCAGCCAAGCCACATCACCAACATTGGCGAGGTGTTGCTCACTTTCGACATCCCGGTGAATCACACAGTGGAGAAGAAGGGGACCAGCACAGTAGCGATACACACAACGGGGTATGAACAGGCGTCGATTACTTTTGTGCTTGGCTG